ATCCGCGGATACAGCGTGACCACATTCCTTCGTTCCTATTAGACTTCCTGTGCTCTTAGCGGGTGATTTCCTAGTCAACAAGGCTCGAGTCTGGGTTCGCAGCGAATCAACAATAACGTTTTTTTGACGCTGCTCATGACCACGGATCCATGGATTTGTTGTTGGGATTTTGATTCACCTGGAAGGCACAAGCAAAAATAGTATAGCATCGGCCTTTTGATTTCGTATCGGTGCACAGTAAGCTTGTCAGCACCGTGACTTACGGAAACACCCCAAAATGACTTTCAATTGATCGTGAATGCGGCGTGTACAATTGTCCGAAGATTGCCACTCCGGCATCAGCTACCCGAAATGAGGAAAACAGCGGTGTACCCTAATCTTGGAGACCTTACTTAGTCCATACCTCCTGTCGGCCAAACCTTGTTCACACAAGAAGTAAGCGATTACTGGGTTGTTCAGCTGTAGCACCATTTGGGTGCTTATCTTCCATGCCACCAGAAGGAAGTGCGAGGGCTTGGATTCTGCCAGTTTGCTTAGGTGTGGGCAGGAAAATTCGACAATCAGAGCTTGAGTTTGAACGACAGCCATCTAGCCCATCGGATGGAGCTGTGTGACCAACCCATCTATCGGCCTCCTAGCCAAATAACCATGTTCAACGACAGGTTCGTATGTACCGCATTTCATGATGGGTTTTTCGAATCGCGTTTCACAGAACTATTCCGGATTACCGGACCCTGTTCGCAGAATGCGTTAATACTTTTCTCGCCACGCTGTATAAGGTTATTCTCGTCCCTCCTCATTGTCACGTTTCCTCAGGCTTTTTACTGCTTTCTCTTGGGACACTGCTAATTCTTTCCTGTGGTCTTGGTCTTACCGGAGGCTGCGTTCGCGTTCTCGCTCTGTATTTCCACCTGCCAACCATCAAATATATGCGAATGATTTTGGGATGCCCGTGACTATAAAATTTCGCACACTTCTGGTGATACATCCATACATATTTAGCATACCCATGTTCCACAAATATCGGTTATTTTGTCGTCATAATTGTGTAGCATACCAAATGAGCGAACAGGCAGCCGATAACAGCTGACAATTTCTTGCTCGCGATTTTCCAACTGAGTTCATTGTAAGTAAGCTCAATTAGGGAGCAACTTCAATCTCGTAATCCCACCTGAGATTCAGCTGTCCTAGATGTAGGCCGGGAAGTGAGTCTTCATGATTTTATGCATATTGGGTGAGTCGTCTATTGTTTATATTATCGGCTTTATCAGCTCATTTTTCTTTAGCATGTCGCCCAATTGGTATTTCTTTGACGAATTTTTTTTTGAACCTTACTTGTTCAGTACCTTCTTCCGCAATTCAGTCTTCTTCGCATGCAGATGTGAATCTTTCCGTGTGGTTTCCTAACGTAGGCAAGACATATCCCACATAACTGATTAAACTTTCAAGTGTTCCTGAGTAGTACGAAGCACGTTATTACCTTTACGTGGATTTCGCCTTGCATTTCATTTGCGTGTGGAAAAAGCAACAACTAGAGACGGGATGACTCGGTATACGTTGGATAGCCCCCAGTCATGAGTGTATTTTTATTTTGAGTCATGATGGCCTGACCACCAGTTTTAAAGTATCCAGATAATGCTTGTTTTCCAGAGCTCACCTGCCACAAAATATTTGAGAAAATTCGGGTCACCTTTCAAAACAGTGCGCATGGAAGCACACTGAATGAAAGACAAATATTGGAGAACGACTTTTGGGTTTTGCATTCTTGTTTGATGAGCAGTGGCCCTCATGCACGAGGATTTTGATTGCTATTCTTACTTGCTTTGGCGTGCAAAAATAACGAAAGATTACACCGGCTGATCAGCAAAAGCGCACTTGAAAACACGCACTGAGATGGTGATCAAGAAAAAGTTATTTCCCGTTTGATGCAGCGTTTTGAGCTCACATTGGAATTTCTTGACCATTTCGGGTCGACCTCAGATTTGATTTGACCCAATAAGCTACATGTTCTGCGTGCTGAGTTGCGTTTTTTAGAACGCCATGTTTTTACCTGTTTGTGAAAATTGCGGGCTAATCATTGGCTTACTACGTTAGTGGCGTAAGCTTGGTGGACTTAGCACGTCAGTCTATCACAGGTACAGAGGTAAGTAACAAACTTCAGTGGGGTCAGCAGAACCGTCTTTTTCTCACTGGTCAGCATAAAGTCATAGGTTTTCTGAGATGCAGATGTGGGACATTTTTTCCGATGATTCTTATAGGCGTCATTTGAACGATTGTTAAACATAATCTCAGGTATTGGACAAGGGCTGCGCTCTATTTGTTGCAAGCCCTTGAGAGCAAAACAGAGATATTATCACGAGCGTGTGGCAGACTAGGACCTTATCAGCGTGTTCGGATAAATTAACAAGCAAAGTAACCAATGCAAAATCACAAAATCACAATAGGAAAGGAATGAGTAGTCAACTGGGGACTCACGAATGTGTAGATCCAATAGTCCACTACACCGATCCAAATGCTGTAACTGGCTGTGAAAGGAAATATTCACGGTAGAAAAATTATTCACGGCTAAAAAATGTCACAGGGATTTATTGTGACGTTCAACAGTTGACACAAACACAGAGATTTAGTCCCACTGGTTCAGCAGTCAACAAACAGCTCAATGGAGCATAAACGCACTCGTTCAGCAAGACGTCAGCAGGTCGCACCGGAAAATTGTGTATTCGTAACATTAAAACATACTTCATGATACAATGTGAACGACAATTACAAAGTGTGGTTTAAGTTCATGAAGAATGGTAAATGTGACAACGGATTACAGACACTACAAGCGATTGTTACATGATGCGCTTGGCTTGACTAACACACCAGTGGTTTAGCGGACGTCGAGGGAAAACCTGATGATACCCCGTATGCAGTACAAACCTTGTCGTAGACAGGGTCAGAATGATTTCCCAGGTGTTTCTGATGACCTCACACAGGAACCAAATAAAAAACTCTGACAGGTGGATGAGGTTCAGTACATGCCAGCAGTGCATATGATGGACCATTAGGCAAAAGCACCAGTCAGAGCTTCACGGTTCGCAGGAATGATAAAATGCTCGCAAGAGTTTTATTTCTAGGTGCAAATATTTGGGATGTTCGGAAATCTGTGGAGAAGCTGGGTGATAATGAAACTTTTGCCTTGATTCCGTGACTGTAGTTTGAAGTGGCTGCTCTGCGGTTGTCGCCATGATTTGAACCAGCTACCCTTTCTTTGTTCTTCGGGCAAGGAGTTCGGCTGGTTTTCCGGCTGAAGAGTCACTACCGGATATGCTTTTAGAACAAGCCACGATTTGATTGCCGCTTTCCTAGTTGGTTCGTACCTTGCTGATCGGCATGGGCAACGGCCATTCTGCCACGAAGTCAACCCTGTCTTTGACGTGGTACGGTAGCAACAACTGTAGCCAGCCTGTTCGCAAGTGAGTAGTGGTGTTTCGCAATTCAGCTCAAATGGACAAGCACTCGTGCCTTGCACTTTGTTTAGCTCTTAAGAGAATCCATGAAGTAGTCCTACTAGTTTGACAGGTACCCGTTGCCGCAGGCTTGATTGAAACCAGCGTATCGTGTACATAGACTTTATGCTGAATTTCCGCTTGCGTCGTCTCAGTGAGTAAGTTAACAAGGGTACTCGTGTCATCGAGACAACATCAACTGGGTGACATGCAGATACTCGTTCTTCTGTAGCACAAACCTAACCCGTCACTACAACTCAATCATTAAACACCGTAATAGATAGGCTAAAGGCCGTTTTCGGTCGTAAAAATACTAAAGTTCAGATTTCGGCCAAGTATGGTTCAAAGGCACTCTCACACTCTATGCGAGCGTGAAGCACTGTAACATTCTAACGAAAGTTTACAGCCAGATACAACGAATATGGTGTCAAAAATCCAGCATTTCTGATAGAATGTGGTGAGTGACTATTTATGGTTGCTCAAAGGCCTACTCGTCCGAGATCACGATGCACTATTTGCAAAGGTAAACAAAAATCAGGTCAAAAGATATTCAAACAAAACCACGTAATTGGTAGGCAGAACTGTCAGGCTGGCATCGACAGACAGAGTTTCGTCTACACAGACATTTACACGCTTATCTATAGATTTATTGTCTTGATATGGCCATTGGAAATGCACTCACTGTTTTGCTAGGTCTGGAAAAACAAAAAGGACTGCGTTGAGACAGTTTGGGGCTGTGAATTCTGCTCAACATGTGTGACAACCGTGATCGGGGTATTTCTCAGTGTGCATGATTTATTCTAAGGTCTCTACCTCCTGGTTGGTTGCTCAGTGTAGACCATCGCCTTCAGCGTGCCAAGGGTTGCTAAATGAACACGAACAATGGGCCATATATAGTGTGTTCAGTGTGTAGGACACTGAAGTGCAGAACGCAAGCGGCTGAATAAGCTGGTATCTGTCGGCAACAATGTGGGCAGAGTGCACTTACGAGGGCTTCATCACTATAGGCAACACGATGGACAAATTCAACTGGTTATCGGTAGTTTTTTGACGAGTATACTCACAGAAGTGCCAAGATTTATACGACTGCATGCCTTTTGCGGATATTAACAAAGGAACAGGTGCGCCCACCGCACCCATCGCACGGGTCCTGCACTTTGGCTTGAAAAATCTGCGCGGTCGCTGTGTACCAGCGTGCTTTTGCAAGACTGTGCAGCTGCATCCGAGATGGAGGTTTTGCCAATTAGATAAGCGAAACTTTACAGATTAATAGATTGTCACAGTGACATTATGATCCTGTAGCTTTGAAAAAGGTACATCAACAAAATTCAGCGATCAGTTGACCCTCGTTGTTATAGAGAAAGTTTAAATATTGCTGACCAAGATTTTGGGTCATTTATACTGGGGATAAAGTTTCACATCATAGGCCTGCAACTCACCTTAACGCCACCCAGCGTGATTTCAAGGTTGGTTGTGACTTTATAGAACTTCACCTGCATTACTGTATTCCAAATTGAAATCAGAGTAGGGAACTGGCTGGGTGTCTCTTGGCGTACTGAGGCCGATCGAAAATGCTTTGAGATCCTTGTATAAACAACCCTACTCAAGTAGTCGAAAGTAATCTTTTCCAGATAGCTGGCTCATGAAAGGATGCCTATGGGAGCATACAGATCTCACCGTAAACAAATCTCTCGAACATCAGGGTACAGTAATTGCCTTTAGGCTTACTCTGCATGGTAAAGCCGTGGCAGTGAAAACGAACCCCGATTCTCAGCATCGCGGTGAGTATGCGCAGAAAAGGGGAAGTTAGAACCGGATGCTAGTCAGCCAGTGAAGTGCACCTCTCGTGTTTGAATGAGATAAGATAAGTAGACGGTGCAGCACAAATCGAGTTTCCGCGTGAAACAAAGGAGTGAAGGGAGCTGTACCAAGTTTTGTGGTAACCATTACCGGGGGTTGACTACCCGATGTGCGAAATACCACTTCTGAATACTAAAAGCTCAACCCTTATTTCCTGCACTTTTTACGTCCTACCAACGCTTTGATGTCGCTTAGGTCAAATATATTTTTTCTTTGTTCTGAGATTGTTCCGAATGTACCAGCCTTATAGAAGGAACAGCTGAAGACGCTTGCGTATCTCTATAGTCTATCCAGACCGTATGCTCACTTATTGATCGTTAGTTGCATCGTTCTTAGTTGAAGTACCCGTGGTTGAAAGTATAATATTAGGCACAATCTTACATGGGCACGGCATAGAGAATCCATAAATCTAGGTAACGGCTACTGTTGACCACTCATGACACGTTGAGCGGCAGTCGTAAATTATACAGCTTCTTCTTTATGTTACCTCCAAATGCTCGGGTCCTTTAAATTCGGGTAGCTGGAGCTCGTAGAATCAGATTGCCAAATGTTGCGCCTGGACTCACTCTTGTATGGTGGCCAAATAAAAGTTGTGAGTTGGTTGTTGGTAGTGTGAGAAGTTGTTGGTAGTGTTGTTGGTAGTTGGTGGTGTGAGATCTGGGAATTTTGTTTGGAGATTTCGACCTTAAGTGAGGCCACTCTATGCTGAAAAGCCGAGAAGTAATGTACAGCTGTTCCATCCTCACTGAGAATCACCAGCAGCGTGCAGTTCACGAAACCGCGTGATTGAAGGATGAGCGACGAGTTAACCACACTGCTGATCAGCCGCTCGTGGTCGAACGCTTTGGTTTTCGAACTATTATCCAGAAGGTCGCGGGTTCCACACTCTCCGCAGTTTCATGAGATACTCAATAAAGATGAAACAGCCGTACGATGCTCCTCAGCACTTACAACCCTTGGTGCTGGGCGAAGGAGGTGCGGGAAAAACGGTGCGAATTACTAGAGATTTACTCATAAACAAGAGCTATCTAGACGATAGGCGCAATTTTATGTACGTAGCTAACAAATAACGAGGTGTGAGTACTAGTGCAGTCGGGTAGCACAAAGCTTATTTTCTAGTGGTGAAGCAAATGTGAATAAGACGCTCAGTTATGGAGAGGACAGAGATTAAGGGACCCTGTCAAACAACCGTCCCAAACCACAGAACAAGAGTTCACACACTGTGGAGTTGGAGGGCTTTTTCCAGACTGAAATCACCAAGAAAAATAAATTGTTGCATGGCAATGTGCTTGACGTAAACCTCCAGAGAAGAAGCTTAGTTGAATAAGGCTTTGCGACGGAAAGGACATCAGACAGGCTAACAAAACGTTCAACTCCATGTCAGATAACTTGGGGAGGAACTGACAGTATGAACGTCACAGCCAGGCACAGGGAAGGTCATGTGGACCCATCCTCGAAGGCGGATAACACTAGCGGCACCCATACGTTTCGTAACAATCATCGTTCTGCCATACAAATTTTACCCACCTCTAGGTTTCTGCTGTTCTAAATTAGGCATAGAAACCGCATTTTTCGGTGAGTCTTAAAGGAACGTGCATAGAAAAGACCCCAGCCAACTTAGCTTGCTGCACTGGATACGAGCTTTGAGTGAATTTCCATCTGCTTCAGAAAACACCCGGCCCCTAATCGCCTAGTCCAGAATTTTCTGATTCAACTCGATTCCTGCTAAAATTTTCTGGCATCCGTCGTCGGAGATTCGAAGATATCTTCGTTTCTCTACGAGAGGTGGCTGAGTTTCGCGGCCGTTCAACAAAATAGCCAACATTTCATAATGATATACGCGTCTTGTGAGACCGAAAACGCGTTTTCGGTGCCACAGGCGCCGCAGATTGGTGGAAGCAATTGAAAACTTAGAGATTCATGCGCCTACTTTAGCTGCCACGTTACTACCGAAGATAATGCAGTCGGTAAAATACATATAGCTTTCCACAACGGGTAGTATCGCTTGTTGAACTCCCAGAGGCATGCTTAGTGACTCAACCTCCCGCGGCACGGTGCTGCTCTACTTGAGCATGGAGGTTCGTTCACTTAAACCAAACGGGGAAAAATGACTGGTCCAAAAATTATCTCATGACAAGGAAAAACACAATATCCCAAGACAAGGCAACTGGGCGGATCAACTGAATTAGTAACCCACCGCATGTCGTTTCGGTCTAGCGCGATACAGTTCTAGTCTGTGACCGCTTTTATGCGTCAGCTGAAGTCTAAATGTGGAATTTGTCGCCTTGTGCGATCCCCGTTATCATTTCTGAGCACGGAATTTATAACACTACAGAAATGGTGTTATATCATCAATAATCGACTGAACAGGCAACCATACAAATAGACACACAGCCATACGATCTTCTGTCGCCTGTTTCCAGATGAATAGACCCTAGAAACGGCTACCTTGCCACTTTCCATTGGAAGCAATATCGTCTGTTATTGTTAGGAGCGTTTGGAAGAATATCACGCGTCGACAAAAAAACAACACCTTGAATTCACGCAGATCTATAATGACAGCATAAATATAAGCGAGCATTGATCTTAAAAATCAAGAAGAATGAGGGATTCTGAAGTTACACGTAATCGTTGATTCGTCTTTGAAGAACAGTGTCAAAGATATTCCAAAGGGCTTTGCTAAGCAACCAGTGGTTTGATGCATAAGTCATGGAACAGAGCACACAGTCGACAGGAAAGGGACATAAAAAGAAGAAATGAACAAGAAATTTTGATGAATGATCAGTTCAACTCCACTTTGATTGTGTTGTCCTTTGCGGTGTAGTGATAGCCTGTGGAAAGGAAGAATCAGTTTGAACAGAAGTAAACTTTACTTATGGACAGAAGACATTTAAACTTCCACCTCGCTTTTTCCGTATGGTAAAATAACTAAGTGAACAAACAAATAAAACCCAAAAAAGGAATTCACTGTGACACAACACTCGTAGCTGGACGAGAGTGGAAATGAGACAAGCGGTGAAGACACCAGCTAGACAAAGATTGGAGCGGGCTGTTCTACTGCTGACACCTCCCCAGGTAGTGGGTTTGACAAAGGGTAAAGCAAAAAAATAAACAAACAGAAACCTAGATATATCAACCAGATTGGGGAAATCAAACGTGCAAATCTGTCGTTTGGAGGGCACGTGCTGTTTTCTTGGTAAGGATGATACGTTGTTCGTAATGGGCTGATCATTGGGGAATCCATCAAAATCCAAAAGAACACAATTGCATATGCGTGAAGCTGGGGGAGAGGCATGCAGACGATTTCGTTCGGTTCCTCTCATAGTATGTGTGGTAACGGCGCCAAAGAAGGATAAGGTACCCGAAGACAAACGCGACAGGCAAAGAACAGTAACAGTTGGCGAAACGAAAGTCTGAAGTAGATTGCTCAAGTATTAAAAAGGTCATGCACTGAACACATTTAACAAAACTATCAAATATCAAACCTGTCACAGCCAGGACTGGAGCACATGCAGAGTCGAAAATTCTGACATACCTGCAAAGAAACTCACCGGTTCTTTAGACTTATCGCAACAACGTTTGTATTTCTGAATCAGCTGGATCTGGTCCTTTAAATTGAAGAGCACGAACAGGACTGAGAATTCGAACCCACCGATTGAGACATTCGGATGAGAATGCCGTTTAGAATGTTGCGTCTCCTACTGAACGGATCTGTCTTACACAGACACGGAAAACGGTCTTGCTAGTTTTCGTGACCATTGTGCTAGCATGTAGTTCCAATTCTGACTCGGACTTTACAGGCTGTGCACAAGCGGTACATCACTGATTGGATCATACAAACTACAAGAGTGAATATTGAGCGGCCAGCAGAAGTACACGTGATGAAAGCACAAATACCCAAATGAGATAGCCTCGGCATGCGTGCAGTTGTTTGGCCCGAAAGGACACGGACCAAGCACCAGGTCCTCGATGTGGGTAGTAGTCACCGAGAAATGAACCCAATCATAGGAGCAGTTGTAGTGTTTCGGTTTCTTAAGGCACATGACCTGATTTGGTTGGCTACCGAGTAGATAATCAGTCAAACTTCCGCTATTCGTGCTAACATTTTCAACTGTAACAGTATGAATCTGCACACGGGTCAATTACAAGGACAAATGAATGGTAATCATCCACCGTAGACGGGACAAATCTGCTGGAAACTACTGGCATACATGACTTGATCTGTTTGAGTAGGGAACTCATACCTCGTACACCTCAGCAATAAATGAAAAAAGATGTGACGAACGCAGTTCTCTGTCAAAACACAATAGGATGTGTCCAGTCGGGTAGAATGACGGTTGAGGAAGCGAACCAGTTAATCATACCACTGCGACAACATTAGAAAACTCATGAACCAGTCAGAGTTTCTCTGTTTAGCATGCGTGTTGTTATAGACTATCGGTTCGCATTGCCTCAACCCTATGTCTGATTAGTATGAAACACTCGAATGTAATCGGAAAGATTCCAGAGGGCCTGTTTATGATACAAAAACTGACCAGAATTCCAAGAGAAGTTGATGTAATTTTCTACTGGGAAAGGTAAAGAAAAATCGCTACAGCACCCAACATCGACGGTACATCAGCGTTGTAAACTAATGTTTCACTGTTGTACAACCATCATTTGTTTGAAAGCTTTGTTAGGAGCAAAAGGAATGAGAGAGGAAACGCACCCGGGGCTGGGCTACTGTGAACCTCTGTGGTGCTTACACCTCCACACAATATGGATCGACACCGAAAACAACCAAATACAGCAGTCAACCAAACACAGGGACCCTAGAGGGTGAATCACATAGCACAAGCTTCTCGTGATCACTTCTATACCCTGTAATTGGCATCCTGATGTGTGCGAACGAGAATCCGGGCTGCTGAGAAAGTGTTCGAACATTGCATTGAAGTATAAGTGTCGTCGGATAAACTGACCAGCGTCACTTCAGTGCATGGCAAGTGTCCTGATCGAGTAGTACTCCAGAAGGATTGGTGCCCCCCATAGTGTTTCTGTTTTAGGTACACAACTGTGGGATACATTGCGATTCGTTCTAACACTGAGTGCTGTACTTTCATCATCAACATCATGACATCAGTGTTCAACACCGATGCTTCACTGCCGTATGGTTAGTTGTGGATATTATGTTTGTACTAGGGCTGGGATACTGCCAGAGCGCCCACATTTAGACAGGAGGACGAGTAGGGTCCTCAATCAAAGCCTTTGTCTCAAAGCCTAACCGCAAGGCAGCGATGTTTGACGGAACAAGTTGCCACATGTTCCAACCCTCAACCTGGAGGGCCAGGAAACTGTGTTCGTCAGACCTCTAACCATTGACCAGCCTGGTATGAGAGACTCTGTGAGTGTCACGGGGACACTCCCCATTATAGTTTAATGGATCGCTAAGGTGCGCGAACCGTCACACCATGGTAAGGTTCAGTCTCTTCGTGACAGGCACTGTACTTTACACTGAGCGACATCCATAAAACAAGTCGCACTGCGCTGAAAACCGTCTTTAAAGGAGATTCAAAACCGAGAGCTGTCAAATGAAACAAACTTTAACTCCTCGAGGTCTAGTCATATGTCCCTCCATTGGTATTCATTTCTAAATCAGAACCTATCTGTAAGAAACCCAATACCATGCCTTCTCCTGAATTGCTCTTCGGCTTGTGCTGGTCTCCACATACCAGGTGTCGCACGCTACAAGAACCCGGCAAGGTTAAATGTCTGTTTAAAGTATGCAAACTATTCATCGTGACCTAAATTCCTCCTTTTATAAAGGATACACTCATTTTACACCAGAGCTGCTGCTATAGTTTAAGTGAAATCATTTCTTCTTCTAAATCCGTCCGTGGTGCTGTTCAGTTCAGAACTGTTTATCCCATTGCTATCTTTCACCTGATAACCCGTAGACTTTCTTGTCATCAAGCGTCTCTCGTATTATTTCGCCGTTAATGCTATACTGGGAGTTTGTGGACTCATTTTTCCCCGTACGGTTGTTCAATCTTCCAGAATGCAGTCAACCCTCTTCAGAAGTTTTCCCATCGGTTGTAAAACTTGACTCTTTGTGTCATCCTTTTTCTTAAAACAGCCCTCTGTGACATTCTATTTCACTAATCTGATGTGATTCTCAGTTCTCAGATTCAGTATTCGTCATAAAGGAGTTGGAGATTGCATTGGCAAAGTTTGTAAATATACTGTACGTGTAAGTCTTTGGCTCTTCGGTGATCCGTTGGTGCCATAAATAAGAACCGTTATGCCTTTAGATGTGCAGCTCCGTAGAAGTGGAGGGAATAGAACACCGTCTGGAAAGGATACAAGCTCCAGCAATGCTGTCTGACCACCTGGGACCATGACCACATTGGCCAACATGGGTTACTCTACAGCTCACAATTGTCCAACCTCGCAGGAACTGCACACTGTGTTGTATGGTAACGAGATAATGTTTTCGTCAACTAATGTTTCAGCACGCCAGCTGGTGTACGTGAATCCATTGTGGCATCACTTCGGTCTTAGTAGATCGAACGGAAGCCACCATGCTGGTTTGGTTGAATGCTACTGCATACATCGTAATTTTCCGGAAGTAGTATGGAGAAGACGATCAAGAAACAGCGCTGCCCTGGTAAAACCTGCCATCCACGATCGGCATGACTTCGAAGTCGTTGGAACACCCGGTTCCCAACCGAATTTCCCGTCAGCTACCTGGTTGTTGAAGCTGAAGGTGCAACTGCATAAACCGACCACTTTTCACTCAGTCTACCTATTTTCTATCGATTACCTATTAAATGATCAACTAAGGATGTACGAAAATGAGGTAATGACAACAATAACTACAGTCGTCGTGAAGGAAAATGGCACGTAACTCAAAAGATCCTCTGTATCATAACGTTTCAGACGTGGTGAATGTTGACAAGAGGGTTAGCATACAATTAAGTGGTGCCAGCTAGATGTCAGTATGATAAAACTAAAGCTGGGTGGCCCTGAAAATGAACAACTGTAGCACTATTAGGAACAACAGATGATCGTCACCTCAGGATGGAACAACTTAACGGTAGGGTCTCATGTGCATGCGAAGGGTGATCGGCACCATAGGTTGACGGTGAATATTTAGCCACGTAGAAAGAGTAATTCAGAACAAGTAACAAGATAAGAGCCTAATGAATAGCCTGCTCAAATGAGGCGGAAGGACATTTTTCTCTTTAAATTCTTCGCAAAAAAGAGTTCATCAATGATATTACGTTTCTAAGTATAATTAGGGACCATAAATGAAGTTCACGCATTTGGCGTTACACTTCACATATAGAAATTCTCCTGCCATTCCAAATACGAGACCGTTACGTAACTGATTTGTAAAAGGTCATCGCTTCGTAAACAAGGATCTCTTTTAACCGATGAAAGGACTTACAAAACACAAAAAAACTAGGTCACACTGTAGATAAAGCTCCAAATGTGAGCAAGTGGCTGACTACGGTCAAATGGTGTGGTACTGTAGGTGCCATGTATGTTCAAAGTTTCAAGTCTTGGTTAGAAACGTATGAGATCAGTTTGTTGTAAGACTAGACAATGAAGATACAAACCGATTCCATATGACCCACCAAAAAGAGCACCTTCGGTAAGCAATCCGAACAAAGTTCACAAAACCCGGTGTCACGGTGACTACTGATTACATTCACTTTGATTAGACAGTTTATGTGGTTGTACCAGTACAATGTTGAATATTTCCTTGTCTCATTCAGACTGAGCTCTTCTGCAAGCCGGCCGGGGGACGGTGGACCAGGTTGAGGAGAGTCTTTCGGACTAATATCACTACGCTATTTCAGTGGTATTTCCTCAAACTTATCTCGTTCAACTTTAACACTCCTTCAGTACATAACGGCCATGCCATCTGAAGGAAGCATGAGGGCTGAGATGCTGTCTGGTTGCCCGAGGCTAGACAACAGCAGCCAAGATGCCGCGGTTGGATTCAAACCACGGACCTTGTGGTTAGTAAATTCGGGCTACCGAGCTCTAATACCTACCCAGTAACACATAAAGACAGATTTCCAACTGTTTGTGACAGCGAGCTGCGAACTACTAGACACATGATAGTACTTTCTATAATCGCCCATTCTGAGGTCATCTGGCAAATGACTTTTGTTCTCACAAGTTGGTGTCAAAAAAAGCAAATTACCCCAAGCAGAATATGTTCAGCCACATCCTCTGGACTCTACAATGGTGGGTCTCATCTAGGGATAAAGCCGTTTGAGGAATCGACGCATAAAACAAAGGAGGGCAGGAATTCAAGAGTTAAGAGGCTAGAATTACGAGTCCAATGAAGTGTGAGGTTGCAAGCACGGATGTCAATTCGGATTCAACCTGACTGTAACGATGATTTTGGGCAAAACTGGACGGACCGAGAGATGAATGATGATTATCTGGGCAGAGACTGAAATTCTAGATTTCAGAGGAACCCATCGTTCAGTTGTAGTGCACTTTGGTGTCTAACTGCTATGCCACCCGAAGGAAGCACGAGGGTTGAGTTATTTCTAGGTTGCCCAAACCCGAACAGGGGAGGTCAAGAGCCAGACGTCGGGTTCGAACCATGGACCCTGCGGTTAGTAAATTAGCGCTGTAACCACTGAGATTTAGTGATAGCAGCGCCAGACGTCGGGTTCGAACCATGGACCCTGCGGTTAGTAAATTAGCGCTGTAACCACTGAGATTTAGCTGATAGCAGCATTAGCTGTTGTTGTTGTTGCTGGTAGTGGTGAGTTCCCGTTTTCCCTAAATAATAGGAAATAACCCTTCAGTTGTAACATTCTTTCGGAGTCTACCTGCAACGCCATCAGAAGAAAGCACGAGCGTTGAGATACTGTCAGGTTGCCCAAGCCTAGACCGGGGTAACCGAGATTCCAAAGTTGAATTCAGACCACAGACCTCCCGGTCAGTAAGTTCGCGTCTTAATCACTATCTAATATTCATAGAATTATGCCACCGATTTCTCCAGAGAGATATCAGTCTAAAACGTTTCGCAGAAATTACATACGTGGAATGTAGTCCAGTGTTGAGTGCAACCAATACCCTAATGGACGAAGTAATGGTGTAAACACAGTTTTTTACCTGTGTGACGGTGATACTGCTGATGAGGGAGGTATGCGAGTAGTATGTTTTCTTGTAAATTAGCTTTGCGTCTCTCGAAAACGGAGATCTGCTGCGAAATTTGCGGAGTCGCTTTGTAGCATTTGCTTGGACTTGAGCAACACTCAATGAATATCCAGGAAAGTTCAGGAAGACGCGTTCAAGAGAAGATGAATGTTCAGTTTTTGTAAATAAAATGCAAATGAGAGTTTTGCTTCCCTGTCCAATAGTCTGTAACTGGTTAGTTGGTACTTTATAATAAGTAATAATAATAATAATAACTCCTTCTTCCTTTTACCTTACCAATTTTCTAACCATTACTTGCTCAGGGATATGGTGTGCACTCATTCATAATGTGTGCGAACTGAACGATGTGTTAACACAAACAGTTGAGAAGTTGGTAAAACCACAAACTCTGGTAAGAAAGAAGTGCGTAGAGCTCGATGATTTGTTGTTGTACGCTAGAGTACAGTAAGATAAGCTACGAATTTAAAGTGGCTTGGCAGCTTGTTACTTCAGTGGGCTTACACGCCCACAGGCGGTGCGATTTAAGCTGCGTGCATAGCTATCTAAGAGAGTCTATGTGAACCGGAACAGTTCCAAGACTATCGATGTGCACCAGTCGTCGCTTGGTGAAAGTTCAAACATTTCTCCGTAAATCAAAACCGGAACAGTTTCTGTCAGCTACCAAACAGACTCCTAATTTAACTGTTGGCAAAGCAGTGCTGTCAAGGATTGCCCAGCTAGTGGAAAGATTGAGGAACGCGTAAGAAGAAGACTGAAGTTTGTCCCCTGAGAATAAAATATGTATCTACAAGGAAAACCGACAACAGCAAAGTTTGCACCGGGCATTACGGAAACTGTCATATGCACAGGCTCCTCGCAAAACGCATCATGACAACAAAGAAGTTATCGTTTTAGAGAAACACCGATTGTGGTTGGGACATTTCTGTGGAATCGAGGAACACAGGATCCACCGATATCATCATCATTGTCAGCTGTAAGAATCGCGTACTTGTCGTACAAAGGTCGCAGCTGCCACGGTTTCCTTCACCGATGATTCGGGGAGGTGGGGTAGGTAGCTGCGCATTGCAGGCGGGAGCTGATAAATTAGTGCGTAAATATAGTACTGTAAATGAACTGTTAAGTGGGAGGATTTGGAAGGGAGCTATGCAGTGAAGGCAATAGCTTAGATGCATGGGCTCAACTGGGCTGTCTGACAATGTCTGTGACCATTGATATGGCCCGTCTCGGGGTCCCCATCCAGGGACCAGTGCCGCTGATTTTGCTAGTAATTGCTTTTATACTTCGCTTCCAAGTCATTGTTCGATTGCCTTTGGCTTTCATCCACCCTTCACGTGGTTGTGCGAAAAGCGTCCCTCTAGGAATTCGGATACATACTGTGTGAACAACTGAATTCCGGGAAAAGAACTCGTGGCAGATAAACCCGTGGTCAAAATGCTAAACACCATAAACATCTATTACGTGAAACAAGAGGCAGAAACCCTCAAAACAGACGGTACGGAGAAAAAATCGAATTGGAAACGTGCAGGAGCTATTGGACTTGATGCCATGGATTAAGATGAATACACTCACCGAGGACAGCCTGAATGACAGAAGTGGAAGAAGCGGCAAATTCCGAATCGTACGAGTCACGGTGACAAAGGCCGGTTCGGCGACGGAACTCGGCCTCAATCATGTCAGCACTCTTACCCTTCGTCTCGGGCATGTAAATATAGAGAAGTATGATGACCACGAGGAGAATGCATGCCGAAGGCAGGAAGGAGTAGAATTCCAAGTATTTCTGTGACGAAATAGGGGGGTTGGGGTGGAGAAGAAAGACAGGTCCTGGTACAAACATACATCTCGCAAAGCTGTTTCGACCCTAGCAGCATTCCACAAGAACATGGATGAGACCAAGCTTTTCCATAACCGCGGGACAGTCCCGAGCGCATACAAATCAATAAATGGTCTCTAAATCCTCCGAGGATTTCATTGAACAATGGAAACAGAATAAAGTCGCCAGCTAAACCCGGATGGACATTCTTAAAGGGTCTCACAAAACAGGAAGCTTCTGTGCCCAGACTGATAGCACCTTCTGATGACCGAAAATTCGCCTGCAAATAGGACACGAATCGGTCCGTCATGTCAAAAAGAAGTCTACAGTAGACTGCATTTGTTCATATAACGTACCCGTCACTCTGGCTCACCACGCTCCTAGGCACGAAATTGACCAAGTCATAGACACAAACCAGTTCGGTCGATCTACAGGTATGTGATAAACCATAAATACTATTGTGGTGATAGACACACGAACAGCAGGGTTGGAATGTGACAACCGTTGTCCGAGAGCGAGAAGAGTCAGTGTGACCTCTCAGTCGCTCAGGCGACAAACAGCGGTTTCAGATCTGACAGCTGCAATAATAGTGGAAATCAATAGTGAAAATTTCTATTCAATTGTGACCTGAAAACATATGGCAACACAGATGTGCTAACGCTCCGACGTTTAAAGCAAGTCATTCGTATGGAAGCAGGCGACTATCGATGAGCGAAAGAATATTTCGAATTGGTCATCACTCAAATGGCATTCATAAAAGCGGCTATTTAGAGGGTTTATCTTTGCAATGCTTTACTAAACTGGCTATGATTTTGAATTCTTCCCAAGAATTCCTAACCTCGCTCAGACTTGAATAAACGAAATTGTCTTGTGTTGGGGACTGTAAAAGGATTCGAACTGGATCACATCACAGGTTACCTATTAGGCCCGGAGAAAGCATGCCCTTTCAGCTGATTATTCCTTCAGCAGCCGATCAATATTCCCACCAGCTTGTTAACCGAATCTCTGGCACTGGAGTGATAAAGGCAGCGAAGTATACTCAATGAAAGCAGATATCCTCACCGCAAACACAGGGGTGTGGGTCTCTAGACCTCTCTGACTAGATTCAGTCAAACGACTTCATGTCAGGATTTAATAGGTTTTATTTACAACACAGAATCGAAAATATCAATGAAAGCATCAATTACAAATTGTCCGTCCTTTTTAATGTGTATTTAAGGTAACATTTGTGGCACATTCGGAAGTGTTCCTGTGATGGACGCTGTGACAGGGTTAATCTGATTACCAGGCCTGAGTATAACTACTAAACATTTCAGTGTGCGTGAACACGCATACACAAAGAATGTCACTTTGTACTGCGAGTGACGTAAGCAGGCGTCAGTTGACTCCGGACAGTTTGCCCAACGTCTTCTGACACGACTTAGTGTAGAGTCATCATCACCCAGAGTGGTATCAAGGTACAACCAGGGCTGGCACATGAAAGAGAAAATTACCAGTCCTGGCGTTCACCAAAAGAACCACGTGATTGCCAGGTCACGGGTTCAGATGGAAATTGCCCTTACATATTCGAAATGTGATGGCGCTGGTAAGGATCACTGTATCAACACAAGAACAATTGCGACAACAGACTTTGATTGGCTGTGTTTAGGCGTTAAACAATTTTTAGGGAAAAAGTCACCGACCTAACGGTATCGTCATTGTGGTGTTAAACAGACATTTGGAAGAATTTAACCAGAGTCAGTTCCAATCTGAGACTAGGATTGGACAGTCGATTACACAACGGTAACCTAAGGCCTGACAAGAGCACGCATGAGGCATCGGTACCAAGCACACATGTAAGGTGTCAGTCGGAGTGACGATACCACTATTCTAAGAGGGTCCAGATGAAGATAGACGTAATTTCAGAAGCGTCACAAAACAAACAAGTATGTAAAACCCTACTGGTCAAATGCATTTCGATTATGTCGAAACCACATAATATGGAGTACCGTGAAGCAATGCAGTCATTAGATGATATGACACTTAAAAAGTGATTGAGCAGCACTCAGGCTATTCCGACATTTTAGATGAAACAGTTTCAGCGGAAGAATAAGGAAATGTCGATGTCGGGCAATTCTTTACTCCTGTATTGTAAGTTAGGCATTGCCAGTAATCATTTTGCGTTAATTCACTGGGCAAGTGAATGTCAGCTGGAGGGTCACGTGAAACGCTATCGACCCATGCTATAAGAGAGGCCAAAGGTTTCAATCTGATGCGACGGACTACAGACAATCCTGACCGTGAAACTGCAGAGCAACAACTTCCGGCTTCTTGAGAAAATGTCAAAAAGTGCTTGGGCCAGTCTTTGTTAGAAAAAGCTCACAGCCAAAATATCAATCCGAAATTTCACGAGCTCTCTTCCGAGTTGTGGGAATTTAAGAGAAACCTTGGGTTGGGTTCACGGGTACGAAGTAAGGGTGAGTATTAAGAAGCTCCTGAAATCAACATGAAAAGGACTTCTGGAATTGAGTATAGGATCATCTGTGTACTTGATTGAAAATTGGACACACGGTGCGTAATTTATATCCTACTTGCGCATGAATCCGTTTCGCCATCCCAATTTTTACAAATTCTACGGGTTTCTCACTCAGGTGTTGAGGACGATACTTGATTGAAAATTGGACACACGGTGCGTAATTTATACCCTACTTGCGCATGAATCCGTTTCGGCCATTCCAGTTTTTACAAATTCTACGGGTTTCTCACTGCGGTGTTGAGGACGGATACATCAAGGTAAGAGTACTGCAACTTGACGTATGACTATAAACCTGGCCAAGTTTGCACAATTTGATGGTCTCAGATGCAAATTTACTTTGCAACGCACCGATCCACCACAGGTCTACTTGCTGCATTTGTCTTGGATCTGAAAGTGACATAAAAATCCGGTGGTTGCCGAAACCTCATGGGCCAAACCTTGTTGCTTTTACCTTTTATCAACGTTTGTCATAACAAAACGAAAGAAATCAGCAACTTGCCTGATCGAACCATTCAAATCAATAGTTACTGCAAGTTAATCACTGATAATAGTCAAATATGGTCATGATATCTTTGTCCAACGATGCTTAAAGCTGGTAAATTTTATATGATATTTTCAAGTTGCGGTTCTTTGCGGTCAGGACTGGCCTCAAGTAGTTCACTTGTACTAACTTTTGTGATGTGCCCCCGGGGGTTGCAGACTGTAGCAGACAATTTTATCACCATATTACAAATGTTACAGAATGAAAGGTCAGTACACATTTGACCTCAGCTACACTACTCCAGTTACATCGGTAATGAAAAGCACTTTTGAGTTAAAAAATAACCGTATAGCCGCCTTGGATTGCGTGCCGCACATACAAAGTAGTAAGCAATTGCGCTGAAATCTCAAACGCAATGAGACTGATATGTCGTCCTAGAATTTTGAAAACCCTCTAAACTACACTGACTCAAAAGATTCATACATCGTAGAAAGCAATCATTCTTTCGAATCCAAGTAAGAAAAGACCGTAGTACTTAGGTGGATGCGAACGTTGCTGGACTGTGCAGACTAACATGAGGTTGTCCAACCATTAAGGAGCGAGAAACAGGTCGGAGAGTCTGTGGTTCGAACCCAATCCTGACTTACCAGGCAGTAGCTCAGATTTCGTGTTTCCTTCGAAACAAATACGTATTGATATCAGGCCATAACTGAACTATTAGATTAGACGACATATATAGGACCGAAATTAGCCACAGTCAATTGAATTCGATTTGAAGCACGTGCCAATCCAGGTATTCTGTTATGCTTAGATGAAACAAGAGAGCATAATTTTTTTTCGAATTTCAGAAGTAATTTCAGCCACAAAGTATGAAAACGTAAAGAGTTTTGTGGGCTTCAAGCAACTGGTTGATGCCTGACCAGGCAGATTAACACCAAACACTCTCAATAGAACAACCAGATAAGTAACTTCGGGATATACAGTCCACCTTCAATACCTTCAGTCACCCTTCAGTGCTACAGTGATGCTGTGGGATATACTGGCTGGAACTCAGCCAGTAAGGCTAACGAGAAGCAGCTTGATAAAGAATCGCGAGTTTCTGCAATGTGAGAAGTCGTATCACAAGGCGATCTAGAGGTAAAGTCGAACTGCGATGGGAGTGTAAGGGCAGTAAGGTGTTTGCTTAAGATGACCAGTGATTCTGCGTTCCTCTAAAAGAGGGGTTGGAAGAAGTCAGTCTCAAAAATCGTACACTCTGATCGCCCAGCATTATTCAATACAGTCAAAATGCTGGGCTGCTCAAAATGCACCTACTGTGTGCAGCTGCATCAAGAATCGTTTATTGCCTGCGCCCTTAGGTGACGCCAAACCCTTGCAGCCAAGTGGATCAGACTGGTTCCGGGAAGAGTATCTCGAGAAAACCGTTACAATAGCTGTCTCGCGGTTTAGGCTTTCAAGTTAGAGGCTAGGGGAAGGGTCCCTGACCGAAATTTCGCGTCTTCCCACTGTCTTATGGACCAAAATTCAGAGTCAAAGGCTCAAGGTGCGGTTCTTCAATCGAAGCACATTCTCCGATCTGAGCAGGCAAGTAGTATCTTTCGTTCACTGACTACTCTCCACACTTCCTTCAACCGAGTCCTTCCGATTCATTTAGCCCCTTTTTCGTATCTAAGCATTTGCACAATAAAACGAAGCAAAATAAACCACTATTGAGTTCAAGGGATCTGTTCCACATTGCAGCTTTCAACTTAAGTACCCTGTGTCAAATTGGACAATAGATTGGCCTTGCTCTGAACTTGTCGTCCCTTTTGACCAATGTAAGTTGTCGCTCAGAAACACGCGCACAATACTCCTTTTCGGTCATAAACCTCAAACCGGTTGGTAAGGACCCAGATTCTTCGCAATTTACATTTTCAGTGTCTGGTCATTCTGATGCAATGGCATGTGGCATCTACGGAGTGGAAACTGTGT